CTGATGATTTCCCTTCAAGTCTTAGCCTGTTGTAGCATCTCTTTCCCAGTTGATGAAGGAAGTTGGGAAAGTACGTTAATCGTGAAACAACATTGCTGCTCAGCGCTGTCTCATTTCTGTTCTGTGAAAGAGGGGTTGGGTTGCCCCAATAGGAGAAATAGGAGCTGGGAAATTGTTCTTCAGATGCTTACCATCTCGTTCAGACTATGCTGGAAATTGAGTCTCAGGACTACTTCTGTGTCCGGTCAGATTTTTGGCAGCTTGAAACCTCTGTTCCTGAGAACTGCTGACGGGGACGGTTGTCTCTCTCCCATGTGACTTTCTCCCTATGGCTGGGGAAGGAACTGAACAAGTACATTTCTTTACAGCCTCTTACTACCAGATGAAGCACAAACCAACGTGTCTGACAACTCTCTGGGACCAAACCCTGAACACAAGCTTATGCTCTGAGGTAGATAAAGGTAGACCTTTCACCTTAGAGTGCAAGGCAGACCTCCAGAGCAAACGCCGAGTTAACTTCTGTGATGGATATTCATGTTTTGATTTATGATTTTATGGGAAGGAAATGGGATAAAGCTAGCTGCTGCTACTCTGCCTAGGAGCCTGTTTGGGTGTCCTGAGTGGATCAGGGTAACTCAGAAATATGAATGGGGCAGTAAACACCAGCCCATGGGAGGGAGGTTACCGGGATAGGATGTTCCCCCTCTCATGTACAGACAGTAGCTGAACCTGGGGAGCTGTTGCTTGACTAGTCCTGTAAACTGACCTGGCAGTGTGGACAGCGGGTGGCAGATGGGGCTTTGCTGATCAGAGTGACTCTTCTTCTTGTGTGAGTGCCCCAACAAGCTCTCAGAAGTATTCCTTAGGTGATAAGGCTGGGCATACAATTTCAAAATGTACTGATTTAGTATGAGGCCTTGCTCTCTGGTACACTGGATGTTTTGTCCCTACCAGGCCCAGCAAACCATAAGGCTGGACTTACGTAATGTTTTGAAGCTTGGTGTTAGATGCAGTGTAACAACTGAAATAGTTTTCAGAGTGCTGCTCACTATCCTCTCTCTTGACAGGTGTGGGTGTGTATGCTGTTGTAAAGGCACCTGGAGGAGTCTGGAGCAATGCCACCACCCTCGGACATTGTGAAAGTAGCTGTTGAGTGGCCAGGTGCCAATGCCCAGTTGCTGGAAATAGATCAGGTGAGACCTGGTAACCAGATGGGGGAGGAAGTCCACCACAACCTTGATGCTGGAATGTGGGAAGCATAGAAATGGCCAGTATTCCTTTCTGGTTGAGAGGAACATGGCTATTGAGGACTCTCTCCTTCTCTTCTAGAAAAGGCCTCTTGCATCCATCATCAAGGAGGTCTGTGATGGGTGAGTAGTACTATGGGAAGCTTTATGGAGAAAGTCTGTCCCCCTGACAAATCTTACTGTGGAAAGTCTCTGCTGCTTGTCAGTGTGCTGCTAGCATGATCCATGCTGCCTGCTGCCAGTTTTGGCCAGGGAATGGGCCAGAGCTTAAATTGGGAAGAAAAGGATCTCCTGGAAAACAGGCTTTGCATATTTATTCCAATTCTGAGTGTGTGCATATGTATGCCCCTAGAGTAAGTGTCTCTGAGGATTGGCCCATCTTGCTGTTCCTGAAGTGCATGCCTCTTCAAACATTCCACAGAGCTTGACCTAGAGTAGGCTGAAGTCCCATCCCCCCCTCAAGAGGAAGTTTTCTCTCCTTTTTGGGAGACCTAATTTTCTGTGCTAAAGCTTTGCTTAAAAGTTCTTTTCCACCCTCCTGGGATCAAGCTCCTGTTCCTAATTGAGAGCCAGAAGAAAGAGGAGGAAGAAGCTTATGTATCCTTCTTTTTCCTCTGCCAGATGGTCGTTGCCAAACCCTGAATACTACACCTTGCGGTATGCTGACGGGCCTCAGCTGTACATCACAGAGCAGGTCAGTGTAAGAGGCAGCAATTTGCTGATGTCCTGGACAAGAGTGCAGAATGCCTTGGACTGGTGTCATGGAACAATACCATCGCTAATCCTTGAGAGGCAGCATCTCTGGTGTCCAAAATACTGAGACCTGAATGGTGCCATTCAACTGAGGAGCCTTGCACTTCTCCCTTTGCATGCCTGGACGTGCGAGGACCCAGCAACTCAGTTCAGTTCCCTCAGTAGGGCTGTTCGCTATAGCAACCACTTCACTTGTGCATACAAATGTGCACTGTAGATCCAGTTGCATTCTTTCCCCCCCCACTTTTCTGGAGTGTGTGTGTGTTTTCTTTCAGACTCGCTGTGACATCAAGAATGGAACTATCCTACAGCTGGCAGTCTCCCCGGTAAACGCTTCCTCACATGCCTTTTTCTCAGTAGCTATCCTCATATGACAGGCAGTTTCTTGCCTCTCAGCTTTTCTTTCTCCTTCTCCCCAAATTGTAGGGGGCTTACCTTTATTGTGGGCTATTCTGCAGAATGAGGCATAGTCTCGTTTTCCTTCCTGGTTGTGGTGTGTATCTTTCCTTTGGATGCTCTGCCCATTTGTAGGACTTTGTTTAAATCAGTCTACATTTTTATTGCATCTCCTAGATTAGCATGTTGTAAAGCACCTGACACGTGCATCCTCAATGGGAGTGCAGCTAGTGTTATCACTCGGAAAGGAACAGTACTGGTGACTTAATGCAGAAATTAAAATAAGAGGCAAATTTGATGCAAAGAGGGTTGTTCCTAGTGAATTCTTGCTCTTGTGACCTCAGCAGTTGTCTTTTGCAGACTTGCTGCAGCTTCCTTTGTATTGAAATTCTTAACCCTTTTTTGTGCAAGTGTCATGGCATATAGGTGAGAGTAAGTAGAACAGGAGGACATTACTTGAGCAAGAGGTTGTTGAGAGGATGTCATTGATCTATGTCTGAAAAATCCCGTTGAATGTCGTGTGGATACACAAAATAAGCTTGTCCTTCTTTTTGAATCTATGAGAGTTTTTTTCTAACATAATATTTCTTAAATGGTCTCGCCCCATATTTCTATATCCACTTCCACTCACCTCACCAAGAAGAAAAACAAGCGTTTACTCTAACATGTGAAATAGCATTTTACTCGCCTCCTGCTTGGCTTTAACTGTTGCTGAGTGCAGCCTTATTTTTGGTCTATCTTAGACTTGCTGACTGCTGGTACTTATCCTGTCATTGCTGGTATCTCTCTACCCTTGCTGTGCTCTCTCTGCCCATCCATGGATATCCATCAGATAGAATGCTGATGCTGACAGAACTCAGTCTACTGGTGACTAGTCTGTAACTGGCATCATCCTCCTTTCCTCCCAGTCTAGGGCAGCTCGCCAGCTGATGGAGAGAATCCAGTCGCACAGCATGGAAGCCCGACTGGATGCCATGAAGGAACTGGCTAAACTTTCAGCAGATGTGACCTTTGCCACAGAGTTCATCAACATGGAAGGGATTACAGTGCTGACACGACTTGTGGAAAGCGGGACCAAGCTTCTGTCCCAGTAAGTTTCTTGTGTTCCAGGACTCCGGAACAGGGCCTCAGATAAGGGGCTAATTCTTCTTGCTGAAGTGGCATTAAGCAACTAACCTCATAGCAAATGCCGATATATTAATTAAGACAAAGTCTTTCTAGTTGCTTGCTAAACCTCATGAGGCAAAAGAGGAGACATTTATGATGTGTGAAACTTGCATTGAAAGGTCACTTTGATAATTTAAATTACTTTTATTACCTTTCTGATAGTCATAATCTCCTCAAGCAGTTATTCATCTGTGCTCTAAGGGAGAAGGTATCCTATGAAAAACCCACATGCAGTTGCACACAAGAACATTCCTGTAGAACTGGTGGCATGTATGTGCCAGTCAGCAGCAAACATGTTGCTGGCTTTCGTATACATGGTCAGTACTTTTTGACCTGCATAATGAGAAGGCCAAAGGTCTGTTTATCTTAGGGAATGGCAAGGGCTAAGGAATATATAGCAGAGAAAGCATCAGTCTTCAGTTTTCAACTTTCGGGCTTCCTGAGCGGAAATTGTATCTCTTTGTTTTAAGAACCTTTGGGTGTTTCTTCCATAGATTTTTCTTCTTAATCAATTTATCCTTTTGACATCTACTGCACTATGTGGAAATTAAGTTCTACAGTTGCATGTCCTATAAGAAAAAAATATTTCCTTTATTTTAAACAAGTCACCTAATATCCATTTGGATCCCTCTACGTACTTTGTTAAGAGAAATTGTAAATTCCTCTGTCTTCTCCGTACCATTTGTAACCATATCTCTCTCTCATATCAGCCCTCAGTCATGCCTTTTCTAAGCTGCAGTTTTAGTCCATTAACACTGTAACTATGGCAGCCATTCCAGAGTGCTAATCATTCTTTCGATGCATCCCCTATCTCTCAGCTCTTTCCAGTACTACTGTGCTGTTGTGGGGAAATTTATTTGTAACTCTCTCATCAGTTTGAAACCTGACCATTTAATTTCTACACTTTTATTTCTTGTCTTTCAGTCAGTTATTAATGCAAGAAAGGGTTTTTTAATTTTACCCTTTAGCAGCTGAGTGTTTTGGGTCTTTTAAGATGCTTTCATGAAGCACCTCATAAACATCGTCTTCAAAGTCCAGGAGTTCTACTTAATTGTTCTCATTCTGACCTACTGATTTGTTCAGAGACCTTTAGTATTGTGGTGTGGTCATCTGCCCACCAAGCCACTCTGTCACTCCCTCTCCTCAACAGGACAAAGGAAGAGAACAAGGTGGAAAAGCTTGTAGGTTGGGCAAAACAGGCTTGGGGAAAAGTACTTTTTTTTTTTTTGCCAATTAAAAAAAGAGTAGGATGGTGAGGATCAAAGACAAAATAAAAACAGCTTCCCTCCGCCCCCTTCTTTCCAGGCTCAACTTTGCTCCTTCACTCCCCGCTCTTATGACTCCTCCCTGCACTGAGCTGCGCAGGGGGATGGGGGTTGCAGTCAGTCTGTAACACTTCGTCTCTGCTGCTCCTTCCTCATCGCACTTTTACCCTGCTCCAGTGTGGGGTCCCTCCCGTGGGGTACAGTCCTTCACAAACTGCTTCCGTGTGGGTCCCCCACAAGACACAGTCTGTCAGGATCAGGCTGTTCCAGCACGGGTATCCTGTGGGCCACAGGTCCTGCCAGAAAACCTGCTCCTGCATGGACTCCTCTCGAGGGGCTGCAGCTCCTGCCAAGAGCCTGCTCCAGCATGGGCCGCCTGTCGGCTGCAGCTTCCCTCAGGGCATCTCCACCTGCTGCAGTGTGGGGTCCTCCACGGGCTGCAGTGTGAATATCTGCTCCGCCATGGGGGTCCATGGGCAGCAGGGGACAACCTGCTTCACTTCGGTCTCTCCACAAGCTGCAGGGGAATCTCTGCTCCAGCACCTGCAGCACCTGCTCCCCCTCCTTCACTGACCTCAGTGTCTGCAGGGTTGTTTCTCTCGAGTTTTTCACTCCTCTCTCACAGCTGCCTTGCAGCATTCTTTTACCGTTTCTTAAATACGCTTTCACAGGAGTGCCACCAGCTTGACTGACGGGCTCAGCTCTAGCCAGTGGTGGGTTCAGCACAGAGCTGTCTGGGACCTGCTGTGTCTGGCACAGGGAGCCCCAGCCTCTCCTCACAGAGGCCGCCCTGCAGCCTCCTGCTACCAAAACCTTGCTACATAAACCAAATACAAATATAGATGTGAAACATAACTTCCCTTTACAAAAGCCATAGCAATTCTTCCCTGCTAAATATTTCTCTTTTTTTCTGGTGGTATTATTCTTTTAGTATAGATTATCTTTCTGGTTACAAATACCTAAATGCCTGGTATGTCCTTCAGATTCCTGCCTGAGTCCTCTCTAAAAATTTGCATTATGTTTGCTGCTTTCTGCAGAGCACAATAAGTAGTTTGGCAATGTTACATTTTACCATGGTTCCTTTTGAATTCTTCAGTGCATATAATCTGGTCCTGAAGATCTTTTTTTCATGTTAACGGCTTGTTCCAGAATGTCTTCTAGTGATGTTCAAATGACAGATTTGAAGACTTTTCTTCTGTCTTAAAAACAAAGAAAAAACCTGATCCAAACCCAAACTGTGATCTGGAAGTTTCCCCAAGCACATTCATGGTGAACTCTGATGCAGGTAGTTCACTTGGCTTTTCCACTGTAGCTGTTCTGTTTCATTGAAAGCACTTTTAAAGTCTTGATAACTTATTGTCGTAACATTTATAGGTCTTCTGTTTTCTTATATATTAGCAACTAATATGTTTTCAGCATGCTTTTTAATCTTTCCCTCAGTCTTTTTTACCTTTCTGTCTTGTGGTTATGTATTACGTTTTCCACAGTTCATGGTGTGCTTTCATTTTGTTTCAAGCCAGGTCCCAGTATTTACAGAATGACAATTCATTTTTCTTTGTTTTTCTCTGATGTTAAAACATGTTTGTTCATTTTTTGTGTGTGTGTGTGGAGGGATAATAATTTCCGAAGATTTTTACGTGCTTTGTGATACAAATTTACTCTGGAGCTCAAATATGACAAAAACTAGCATTTGCAGATGGTTTAAATTTTCAGTTGATCAGCTTAAAAAGCTTTCTTCTTTCCAAGTTGGCCTTTTTTAAACTGATGGTCATTGTACTGGATGTTCTGGGTTTTGCTGGTTTTTGATTTGGTTTGGTTTTTTTCCCCTCACATGAAATTGTTGAATTTGAGTAGTGATGCTTCGCCCTGCTCAGAAATAAATACTGCATTGCTGCTTCTCCTGTTATTCCTTTGACTAGCCAGATACTGATCCAGGTGGTTGTGAGTCTCTGGTGCTTTATTGTTGCTAGTTTTAATTTGTGCTTGTAATCAAGAAAAATAAAATATGATTCTACAAAACAATAAAATTATCTTCATAAATGCAAACACTTTATTGCTCCCCCAGCTGCCAGACTGCAGCGTGTTTTATTAGGAGAAGGTGGTGACATTTTTCTCTTATCCAGCTTACTGAGCTTGGACAGGCTTTTTCTTTGCTACCAGATCTCTTGTAAATGCATTCTTCATTTTCTCAGTTACAGTGAGATGTTGGCTTTCACCCTGACTGCCTTCTTGGAGCTCATGGACCATGGTATTGTCTCTTGGGACATGGTCTCAATAACCTTCATCAAACAGGTGAGTTTGGGTAAAAGGGGTAAGGAGATAGTATTTCTTTTCATGCTTTAATGCAGCTTCCAGGAAGAGCAAGATGACTCTTGAGAAGCTGAGTACTCATTGAGAGCACGGTGCACCCAGCTTTCTGAGCCCTGTCTCCCTTAGCTTCTTTCACTTGCCACAAGGTTTCCTGGATGGGCATTTGTTGACCTGCCCGTTCATCTGTTTTTAGATTGCAGGGTATGTGAGTCAGCCTATGGTAGATGTCTCCATCCTCCAACGATCCCTAGCCATTCTAGAAAGCATGGTGCTAAACAGTCAGACTCTGTATCAGAAGATAGCAGAAGAGATCACCGTGGGGCAGCTCATTTCTCATCTGCAAGTGTGAGTGTCCACCCAACAGTGATGTGATTTAAATCCATTTTATGCATATCGGTTAAACGTAAAAGGATGTATTTTCAAATTAAAACACTTAAAGGTGCTATTTTTAAAGTGTTACTGATATGACATCTTACTTGAACTTTAGGATTTCAAACAGATTTTTAAAAAAGTAAGATCCTGGAAAAATATGTTCTGTGTTCTGGAAGCACTTAAGCAGATGAGTATATGTCTTGAACAAAGGTATTTTGCTTTAGCAACTGCACAAGTGTGTTCAGTGTTAGGACTAAACCTGTGTTTTACTAAAACAACTTCCCAAAGCTTCTGCATCCAGTCATCTGTCACCTTTGCCCCTCTTTAAATTGTATCCACTAGAATCTAAGAGCTCATCACCTTCTGGTTTTTGTCCTGCATATTAAGAAAGAAAACAATGGCTTTTCTTGTTTTTTTTCCTCACCTCCCCTTCCTCTCTTTCCAAACAAACTGAGAAATTAATATCTGGCTTTTAAGGCTGTTTGTCCAGCCCAGTTCCACTCTTCTGTAAAAAAAGAAGCATGCATTTGTTAGAGATTTAAGGAGTTTCTTTTTTTTCTCAAGCCTTTTAATTTTGAAAATGTGGAAAAGCACCATTTGTGAATATAATTAATACTTCTTAATCAATGAACAGTAGTTTGACAAAAACAGAGCAAACAGTTTATTGCATCAGTGTCACTGTGTGCTCACAGTGTTTCTACATTTGAACTTAGCAGAAAAGCTAAACAAGTTCTCATGAATACTGCAGCTTTGTTCTGCAAAGAGTATATATGTTCTTTCAGCTTTATAATTTCTATTTTAGTAAAACACAGGTTTGATTCTAACACTGAGCGCACTTGTGCAGTTGTTTAAGCTAAATATCTTTGTTCAAGACATATACTCATCTGCCTAAGTGCTTCCAGAACACAGAAGGTTGAGGAAGAAAGTATCTATGAAGGAATATTGCAGAAAGGGAGGCTGGATAGTGAGTCAGAATTTGCTGATGTTTGTTTGCCAAGATTATCAGGAGGGAACAATATTAACAGAGGATAGCTTCTGGAAGAATAGGTCTGTGGAAACAAGACTGAAAGAGACAAGTTAGAAGAGGAGAAATTAATTTAAAAACTTTTGCTGTGTCAAAAAGCAAGCAGTGTGGTGAAAAAAGCAGCAAACCTTTTCAGAAAAGGAGGATAGAAGAGGTGAAGTGACAGACTCCAGAGACCTGTGAAGCTTGGAGGTCCAAGGACAACCTAGCATGATGCATGAACATTTGCATGTTTGAAGTATGGCAGATTGACCAAAATGAAGAAGATTTGGAAGGTAGCAATAGAAGAGAGAATATGAATGCTATCCATGGATATGCCACAGATAAATACAAAAGTGAGGAAAACAGCTATTTAAGCTAAGAGATGTGTTAGCTTTAGATGTTTTATAAAAGTTTAGGTTTGCATCTTTTTTTTTTTTTTTTTTTTAAAGTATACACACACAGACATAAATTCATTTAGGTGTTGCACTGGACTTCTGCTAATCAGGAGAGCCTGAAGTTCTGCAGAAGTCTCCCAAGAGTGTATTTGGGCTGGCTGAGGTGGAGTTAATTTTCCCTATAGCAGCCCCCATCATGCTGTGCTTTCTATCAGTAGCTAGAAGGAGGTTGATACCAGTGTTTTGGCTGCTGCTGAGCAGCGCACACAGCATCAAGGCTGTCTCTCCAACATTCCCCCCTCATCAATAGGCTGGGACTGGGCAAGATCTTGGGAAGGGACATAGCCAGGACAGCTGATCCAAACTGACCAAAGGGATATTCCAGACCATATGGCATCTGCTCAGCAGTAAAAGCTAAGAGAAAGGAGGAGGTGGGGGGCATTCGTTCTTAAGACGTTTGGCTTCTAGAGCAACCGCTACACGTACTGAAGCCCTGCTTCCTGGGCAGTGGCTGGACAATGCCCGCTGATGGGAAGTAGAGAACAAATATTTTATTTTATTTTGCTTCTGTGTGTGGTCTCTGCTTGTGCTTTATTAAACTGCCTTTATCTTGACCCACAAGCTTTTTTTGATCTTATTTTCTCCCCCGCCTTGTTCTGCTGAGGAGAGGAGTGATAGAGCAGCTTGGTGGGCGCCCGGCATCCAGCCAATGTCAACCCACCATGCAGAGTAATAGTATAGCAAGAAACAAAACTGGATTTGATAGAGCATCAAGATGGGGGTGGAAAGGAGTGTGATCGGCATTTGGAAGCCTAATCAAAACATCACAGGTGAAACCACACGCTATGCATGATCTAGGAGGGGACTAAGCATCCTTTACCTGAAGAAGCTCTTCAGTGAAAATAAGAAAAAGATGAGTAGGTTGGCCCAAACTATTGAGGCTGGAAGGCCATGCCATAAAAAGAGGCATCCTTCCCACTTAGTTCCGTTTGCGTTTGGTGGCTTCCATTGACATAGGGGAGAAAAATTACTTGCTCCGTATAAGTTTCCGGCTGTATCCATATAACAGGCTGCTGTATAACTAGGCTTTACAGAGATAGTTTCAGCATTGGAAATGAACTGTGGTAGGGCTGAACTCTGAGTTCTGCTGGACTGCAACCTGCGCTATCTTCTGAATAATGCAGCTACCAGTCATCAATTTCTGTCAGCTTTTTGCAGGCCTTATGAAGAGTTGGATGGCATGAAAGTAGATTCCCTGAATCCTGCTTGTCTATTGAAATGCAAGATAGCTGTGGTACACATTCTTATGGTGCAGGCAAAGCAGCAAGCTGTAATGTTCTGTACTGTCTGTTCTCTTACGATCCTCCCGTTTTTGTTCCTGCAGCTCAAACCAAGAGATTCAGACATATGCCATTGCCCTCATCAATGCCCTGTTCCTGAAGGCACCTGAGGACAAGAGACAGGTTTGTTCTTGGTGTTTTACTGTAAACCTGAATAATGGTTCCTGGCTGGCTGTTTATGCCTCAGAAATCGTATTGTCTGGGCAAAGCAGACCTCAGACCTTGCCAAGAACTTATGTAGCTGATTCAGTGTGGCAACATAGAAGAAAAACTACCATCCTGTTAATAATGTGTTCTGCAGCAGCACATCTATGTTTAGGAGATGCTCAGAGAGGAATCTGGAAGGCCTTGAGAGACAAAGTAATCCTCTATACAGCATGGAATTTTTTTTTTTTTAAGAAAGTTAATTCCATATGGGAGAGGTAGGCTGGGTAGAGTCTTTGGGGTTGTATGTACTTGTTAAACAAACACCCCACCTCCCCCTCCCCCCAAAACGGACCTTTCTTAAGTCATAGGGGTATATTCCCACTGGCAAATGAAAGGAAACATCTGTCCTGCTCTGAGGAAACCCCCAAGATCTCAGCTACGTGCAAGTTGTGCATATGTCTGTATTGTGTAGCTTTGCTGTGTTAAGCCTTTCTTCTCTAGTGCCCCATTTGTGCCTTATTTCTGGACTCTGAGCTAAATCCTGTCTGCTTCTCTTTGTGCCTTTTTTTGCTTTCTGCCAGCAGGACAAGCTGCTTAACCCACTAGACCTGCCCATCACTGTAAGTAACTCAAGCCTGGGGGCTGGTCATACGGAACTGTAGGCATGTTAGCTTTTCTCCAGTTGTACCTCCTTGTGTCTCAGAGATGATGCATACAGGCTTCAGATGGTGGACGAGCCTAGGGAGAAGGGTGGGAGGACTCCTGGGCATGTACTCAGATTGTGAAGGGGAGAAGAATCAGTAGGAGGAGAAATCTTGAATGACTTATTGTGCACACAAGATAATAAAGATGATCATAAAAGGAAACTGATACTACAAGACTGACCAGGTAAATCAATTTTAAAACTGGAACCACTTCTTCAGCAGTCTGGGTCTCCTTAAACTTGCTACGGCCTGAGTTTATACCTCAAGTCTCACTTGCATTAATGACAGTTTCGTATCCAGCTGTGTCCTACGGGTGGAGCTATTTGTCTGTGAAGAGCAGTCACAAAACAGTGCTGATTGGGGGCTTGAGCATACACTCTGCCTAATCTGTGACTTCTCCCTTATGGGAATTGTGCTATAAGAATGGGGTTTTTTTTGCCCCATACTATCTCCAGGGGAATCGCCACTCTTGTTAATAGGTTGATTTGGAACCTTCTGTATCTTAAGATTCTGGTACATTTTTTAAAATTTTCTGGGTGGCACAGAGAATGCTCCACTTTTGCCAAGGATGCAGTGCCTTCAGAAGGGAAACTATTGTCTTAATAAATGTTACATAATTTTTAAAATTAATGGATAGGCATAACACATGAAAATAAGGATGAACATACTCCTCTGTGGGTAATTTGGTCAAGATGCTAAACTTCATAGCAAACAAAATTCCAAAGGATATTTCACTCCCTGCATCCCCCCACCCCCCAGCCCTTGTGCACAATCCACATGACCACAAAGGGCCATGAAGATGATTAAGGGACTGGAATATCTTTCATATGAATAGAGATTGAGAGATTTGGTTTTGCTCAGCCTTGAAAAGAGAAGGCTCTGATGAAAGGGAATAAAGAAGAGGGAGCCCGACTTTTCTCAGTAGTGCCTGCTGACACGACAAGAGGCAATGGGCACAGCTTGAAACCCAGGAAATTCTGCCTGAACACACACACAAAGAAAACCAAGAAAAATTAATATGAAAGTGTTCAAATACTGGAACAGCTTACCCAGAGAGGTTGTGGAGTCTCCATCAGTGGATATATTAAAAACCTCACTGGACACAGTCCTGCACAACCTGTTCTGTATGATGTTTCTGGAACCAGGGGAGCTGGACTAGATGATCTCAAGACATCTATTACAACATAGATGATTCTGTGATTCTGTGACCCCATCAAGCAGCAAAATGGGCATTACTGGACTCTCAGCAGAATGTAGATCCCTTAGCAGTGGGATTAGGCTATGTGTGTGCTCATGCTTCTTACTATGCTATTTAGAATTGTTTGATAGTCTTTGTCCTTCCCACTGTTTATCTGCTTCAGTCACTTGTTACTTCATCCCATGTACAAACTAATTCCTTTGGAGTAAAGATTCTTTGTGTTGCATGCATGAACAAATCCTAACAGCAGGCCTTGTTCTATTCTAAGCACTACATCTCACAAATCATAGTAAAAAAATGACTCGGGGGCAGCGTGTTATCTCTGAAACCACTTCCTACTTCATCTAGATGCTTCTTGGGTATCTTCCACTCAAGCACTGACTCATTTTGGTTGTAACATGAGCGCTGATGAACTTGCAGCCATTATGGCTTGGCTATCAGCCAGCATATCACTTTCTTGTTTTAGGAGGTTTCTGTCTGGAACAAAAGTGGTAACAGGGACTTGGAATGAGGTTAATATACACGTTTTACCAGACTGCTTATAAAGCCTGTCAAGAACAGGGTTGATATGAGCAGTTGGAACAGTCTTGGATTGCTCAGAATGTACAGCTCGTGAAGTGCAATTGTCCAAGACGGCACATCTGCTTCCAATTCTCAATCTGCACTGCATAGGAATGTGAAACAATCTCAGACTGGCCGTTCTTTAGGACTTCTTCCAGATGATGTATTGCCCAACAGATTTTTCTTACCCAAAGATTTTGCTGATAACAGTAAACTTCTGATAACATTCCATCTTGATATTAGCATGTGTGCCACTCTCCTAGCAGGTGTAGTAAAATCGCTGGTATTTTTAAAAACTGCATCTTCACAATTTACAAGGAGAGCACAGTTAGATTTTTGCAGGTGAATGTGTAATTGGTTCCAGAACTGAAGCTTGCAGCAGATACTTGTGACTGTTTGTCATTGTGACTTGATGGTTGGGAAACCCTCCTCATCTGGGGAAGGAAGCCATGCGGGAAAGAGGGAAACTGGTGTTTTTCCTTTAAGCAAGAAAATTATTTACCCTTTATTTTTGTAAACTGAGGTGCTTTTGCAAATTGTCTTTAAACTGACTTCTAAATATCTTTTTAGGAACTGAGACTAAGGAAATGTAGATTTTAGAGGGAGAGTTTTTGAGAGGGAGGAGACCTGAAAACTACGTCCTCTAGCCCTTTGTTATCGTGGGTCTATACCTAGGTATAGAAAGTTGTGAAATGCTAATTGAAGGAACCTCTTGTAGGTGACAGATTTTTCTGGGCAACCCACAGTATTCTCCCTGCTGCCATATATCCTGATATTGAAGCATCATTAGATGTCCAATGTTAAGCTAAATTTTCTTCTGTTCTTGGACTACGCTAGTGCCTTTGTCCACGTTAATGGTGTTTTGTAGGGGAGCCATCCATGAGTTGTGCCATGGTAAAGATGACCTTTGCATCCCAGCTTGATGCTTGCTTTCTGGTGAGATGCCATGCTAAATTGACAGTCTGTAGTAAAATCACTTTGTTGTGTGCCAGTGCTGTCTCCAATTCATAGGCTTCCTTCTTTCTCTCCTTTCTGCACAATGTGGGCTTTTTGTTAATATTTCACTCATGTTATTTCGTCTCTAAATTCCACAACAGGAAATGGCTAATGCGTTTGCCCAGAAGCACCTGAGGTCTATAATCCTGAATGTAAGTATGTCTGGAATGACAGAGTGCTTCCTAGTGCTCTCTCACTAGAGCTTTCACTTGCGCAGAGTGTAAATTCTGCTGCCCTTGGGGCACTTCCAGAAAAGAGACTCTCTTAAAGGCAAAATTGGAGCCACTTGTTCAAAAGGGAGTTATCAGGATGATTCTTTCTGCTGTTACAGAGCATTATTGCTATGCTTCTGATAGAATATGGAGGTTAAACCTATACAGAGATGTAAATGCAGCCTGGCATATGCCTACAGCTAATACCTCTGTTTTTATTTGTAATCTCTTAATTTCTACCCTATCCTTTATTGTGCAGCACGTGATCAGAGGAAACCGCCCAATTAAAACAGAAATGGCACATCAGCTCTACGTGCTACAGGTCCTGACCTTTAATCTCCTGGAAGAGAGGATGATGACCAAGATGGATCCCAATGATCAGGTCACTGTTAGAGCTGAGTAAGATCTGATAGAATGTGACGTACAAGGGGCCTTATTCCTGAGCTCCTTAGCTCCAAAGAGCTTGCAGTAGATGGTGCCTAAAGTTTCAAAACCACCCCTCACATTGTAGTCCTCGAGATTATGGTATTCTCATGACTATGCTGTATGCTATGGGACTTTTAGAGGTGTACCTGGTCACTGAAAGACATATATTCCTTTCTTGACCAGTGTGATGCCAGCTGTCAAACTGATTACTCCACCTCTACAGAGAACACATCATTTTATCCATTTCCTTGCAGTGCACAAGGAAGACGGGCATTTTTAAGGTGTCTGTTACTCACTTCTTAGATGTATTGTAGTTTTGACTGAGAAATGCCTTAGCATTATCTGAATGCCTAGAAATTGCCTTTAACTAAACTTGGGGCAGTTAAAGAAGAACGCAAACAAATATTTTGCATTACTCAGTATACTGAAACTTGCCATTTTGAAATGGATTGCCTCTTCTTACGTAGTGTTAATGGCCTTTGGCATCTCTCTGTATTCACTGTGTGAACTATGGAGAGAGAGGTGGGACTGTGTATTGTGTGAAAATACTGCCCTAGTGATTGATCACATGTTACCATTTCTCTGCCTTCTGTCCTTCAGGCACAGAGAGACATCATATTTGAGTTGAGAAGAATTGCATTTGATGCAGAGTCTGACACCAACACCGTCCCTGGCAGTGGAACAGAAAAACGCAAAGCCATGTACACCAAGGACTACAAGATGCTGGGATTCACTGTATGCATCTAGAGAGAGTGCTGACTGTAAAGCATGTAAAGGCAATCTAAGTGATCCCCATCAGAGTTGTGGGGAAATAAGGAACAGAAATAGCTGTTTGCTTTACCATGCTTCTGTATCTGCGTTTTAGAAATTCAGCTATGCTCAGACTCCCAGGGAAGATCATTGTGAACTTGCTGGTTGGTTAAATGCCAGGGCTCATTAGGCACGTTCTCTGGAGATACTTACTTAACCATGCGCACCTATTCTATGAACAACTTGGAATCAGCCTCTCTTCTAGAAAGTTTGGATAGCATTGTCAGCAGGTGTCCAAGATTACCTCTTGGATAGACGTGAGGGAGTGCCTAATGGACAGGCAGTTGTAAAAATTCATTCGGAAGAGGTTCTCACATCATTTCTTTGAGCTGATTTGTTTGGGTTCTTTCTAAACACTCTTTTCACAGAATCACATCAATCCAGCCATGGATTTTACTCAGACTCCTCCAGGGATGCTGGCATTGGACAACATGCTCTACTTGGCCAAATTTCATCAGGACACTTATATCAGGGTAAGTGAAGCTGCTGTTTTTTGCAGATACCAACACCTCAGCAGCTCTTCTTAGTATCTGTTGCATCCTCTTCTTGTAGATTGTTCTGGAGAACAGCAGTCGAGAAGATAAGCATGAGTGTCCCTTTGGGCGCAGTGCCATTGAGCTTACCAGGATGCTTTGTGAGATCCTGCAAGTTGGGGAACTCCGTAAGTACCACTTATTACCCCAGCTTTCCAAGTTGCTGGGCTGATGCTTCTGGAAGTAGCTTACAGACTGACCAATATTCACAAGCATTTGTACCTTGACCTCACTTCTGCCATGTAAGGACAGGGGGAGCTTGGAGTTGCAGTGTCAGTGTCCCAGTGATAATACTAATATTGAAGTAAAGTAAGAAATTTTGGTGTGTGCACTCTGGTTCTCCTGAAAAACTGACACAAGTGGAAGGCTTCAACTTCCTGAAGCTTCAGCAGGGTGCCGTATTAAAAAAACACCAGCAACCGTCATGAACTTGAGAAAAGTTTAGAAGCTCTAACAGTCTCAAAACAGCATTCTCGGACAATTAACCACTGTAAGAAATTCTACCAGAGGAAAGTGGTAAACAACTGCAAGCAGTCATTTGCGGGGACTAGTATGAAAAGGGCACGAGTCACAGAGGCTTGCATGGTGAAGCGTGGGGATAGTTTGCCATTCCCAATATAGACTGTCTATGGGAGATGAGGCACTGAACCGTCTTCATCTCTTTGAGTCAGTACTATTGTACGCCATCAGGTTTCTGTCACTGTAGTGGCTTTTAGTTACTCTTAGTAGCTCTTGTGCAATATGCTCATATGGTTGTGGCTTCTGTTTCTTTCTGTAGCCAATGAAGGCCGGAATGACTATCACCCCATGTTTTTCACCCATGACCGTGCATTTGAGGAGCTATTTGCCATCTGCATCCAGCTGTTGAACAAGACCTGGAAAGAAATGAGGGCGACAGCAGAAGATTTTAATAAGGTCAGGGCAGAGAGGTATTTTAGTAGAATCTTTTGCAGAACAGCACCTGTTCACTCAACCTGTACACTTGGTTAAAGAGTAGGGTGCAGAAGGTATGACAGGGCATTGATGTGGGCTGTAAGGGAGGATGGTCCAACTTTTATTTGGTATGACCTGACATCGTTCTTTGTTCTTTTGGGTCTTCAAAGTCACTAGTACGATGATACTCCTGGCCCTGGTTATTCCATGTCAGTTCTTTGCTGCCACTGAGCTGTGCCCTGGTACTCTGCTGCCATTAAGCAGCAAGAGTGTGACTGCTTTTCTCCCTGCCCAACCTGTGTAGGTTATGCAGGTTGTGAGGGAACAGATCACACGGGCTCTCCCCTCCAAACCAAACTCCTTGGACCAGTTCAAGAGCAAATTGCGCAGCCTGAGCTATTCTGAGATTCTGCGGCTACGCCAGTCTGAGAGAATGAGCCAAGATGACTTTCAGTCACCACCGATTGTGTAAGTGCCTAACAAAACCAGTTGCCTTCTGTGTGTGCCATTATCTCCATTTTCTACTTACTTTTCCATATTTGATTGCCAGTGAGCTGAGAGAGAAAATCCAACCCGAGATCTTAGAGCTGATAAAGCAACAGCGCCTGAACAGACTTTGTGAGGGAAGTAGCTTTCGAAAGATTGGAAATCGCAGGAGACAAGGTAAGGTAGCAGCGTCTACTGCATTTTTTCATGTAAAGAACTGTAGGCAAGTAGTATCTAATGGATTAATCTGTCAGCAGACATGTTGTCAGGAAGGAAAGCTAGTTACCTGGGCTGTTTATACCAGCCAGTAGTTTGGGATAGAACAGATGTGCATTTCTAAGAATACAGCCACCCCCTCATGAACATGAAGCAGTGCTGAGGAACTGGGGAAGAAGGGGGGTTAGGTAGGGAGACTATAATGTAGTGGCTGTAAGACCTTATGTGAATGATCTTGCTCAGCTTCCTCTACTTGATGTGTGTTCCAGAAAGATTTTGGTATTGTCGCCTGGCTCTGAATCACAAGGTGCTGCACTATGGAGATCTGGAAGATAATGCCCAGGGTGAAGTGACCTTTGAATCTCTGCAGGAAAAAAGTAAGTCACAATTACTGCTCTGAGCACACTGCAATGTTCTGTGCCCTGCCGTCTAGAGGCTGTTACGAGTACCATCCTAGAGATCAGAGAGGAAGAGCTGCAGCTGAAGCCCTGACTGAGATGAGATCAACTTCTGGTCCTTGCCCAAATCCTCTGGGTCTTGGAATTGCTTGGTATTTCTTTGAACAGCCAGCTGTGTAGGGGTGTGTTACTGTGTTTTGGAAAACTGCAGTAATGAGCTACAGAAACGGGAACAATGCTCAGTTGCAAAAATAAAACAAGGTTCTGTCTTTTCCTGGTTAGGATTTCTTGTTTGTGAGTGTTACTTTTTCCCTGTTAGTTCCAGTTGCAGACATCAAAGCCATTGTCACGGGGAAGGATTGTCCACACATGAAGGAGAAAAGTGCACTGAAACAGAACAAGGTGAGTGCTCCCTTTTTTGCCTGTAATTGACGTCCAATGCTGTAGGGTCAGAGGCTGTGAAAGCAAGCAACCAGGAGCAAATAGTCTCCTCACTGCGGGTGCATTGTTTACAAAACCCATCTCATATCTGGGTCTTTTCCTGCTACTCACTGTTGACTGCCAGGTGCTGTGAGCATAGTCAGGTTGTGCTGTGGGCTATTCAGAGTTGCTCAGAATACTGATGTGGGAAAGTGCACTGAGCTGCAGCAAGGCACCTTCCCTTGGGTAAGCAGGCAGAAGGTGCTGTGATGTTTTGTTCAGTCAATGATTTGTTCAAAGATTCTTTTCCATTCAGGAAGTGTTAGAATTGGCCTTCTCGATATTATACGATCCTGATGAGACCTTGAACTTCATTGCACCTAATAAATATGAGGTAAGAAACAGCGATTAAGCAGTAGAATATAAAGCAGTTAACTTCAGGGATTAAGGAGGATCAGTTGCTTCTCATTAAAGACTTGAGCAGGATGTCTCCCACCATGTTAATTCTTAGAAAATGTTGCCAACGCTTAGTGTGAATCTTCCTATTATTATTTTTTTTTGGCCCCCCCCCCCAGTTATCTTTCTCTTTAAAAAAATAAAAACCCTATACTAATTTCCCTTTGTCTGGACTTCTACTTTCTTTCCTCCTATGGAGTCAGTTGTTCGCTTTTCCCCATTCTATAAGATACTGATGCCTAAAGTGGCTTTGCTTTTTCTGTTATGCTGCAGTAGAGACTCTCGGCCCTCTCTTGGAGCCATGGGGTCATGCTTATCTCTAGGCTTCCAACTTCCACTGAAAATCTCTGTGGGCACTGTTT